ATCGTGGCCAGAACGATTTGAAACTCAATAGCATATCTTATGGCATCTTCACTCGCCACAGTTCTGGCTATTTGCTTATCATAATAAAAATGATACAGTGAAAATCAATTTAGTATAATGTGTAGCTCCCTAGCAACTGATTAAAAATTCAGTAATATGTTTGAAGCTAAATTCTCTGATGAATGTCGCGCCCCTATTTGTTTGTCCGCCACTGTGTGTATTACATATGTATGTATGTATGTACAAACGAGTATACATATATAAGGCCTCGAGAGCAGAAGCGGCCTAACCCAAAAATTTTGTTTGTACTTAACTACTTAAAATAGTTTCAAGTGTGTGCGAGTACGTTTAAATTTATACCTAAACAAATAGAAGTCCTAAATCAGTGAATAGTGTCGGTAATGCAGTGAATAGGAACATATACAGATTTTTTTCGAAGTTTTAATTAATTTTATCATTGCTATGGCACAACAAAAATATTCAGAAAATTCTAAGATATTCGGAATTTTTGCGGGTGCTACCCCTAAAATGGTTACCTTTACTGAAAAAGTAATTCCCTAAAAATGTTGGCCCAATTAATCATGCCACAAACGTGTCGAAGTTGAGTGGTAGCGGCAGCCAAGAAATAAAAACTACACTAACAAATTATACTCACAATGGCAATCAGAACAAAACAAATTTACATCAAACACATCATTTTGACAATCAGTACAACCGCAGCGAAAACCTAAATTCGCCAGTATGATGGGTGTGCTGTCAAATCAGTAAAAGCAAAAACAAAATACATGTAAAGCGAAGAAATCAGCTGATCTAACAACACCACCTTGTATAAATTCGCCTTGGACAGTATCACTTTGCGTCAGTGCTGTCTTTGGCTAGCCACCTTATTCAGAGTTGCAGATGTGGGGATTTCTCCCCATTTTGGGATTTCTGAAACCATTTGGGGATATATTTTCTCGTTTGGGGATGTGTGGATTTGATGGGGATTTTTGTTTGGTTTAAAATATTCATATTGAAATTAAAATACATATATTTTACTGCCTGCCCTTAAAAATTTCTCAAACAAAGATTTTCTTTGTCAAAGTGTTATTCGAGGAAAATGCCTGGTTTAATGGCTTTCGCTGAACACACAATTTTTTCTCACTTCATTACACCAAATTGTAAAAGGATCGTTGTGATTGGCATTTACCGAATGGACTGCATATATTTCTGATTTCCTTAGTGTAAAAAGAATTTTACAAAATGGCAAGCGCAAAAAAAAATGACGAACTTACAGACAGCAAAGGGAATAGGAACCTTGGGCCGTTAATAGTTGTTAAATAGTCTCCAAAAACCATAAAAAATAAGAAACCGCTTTACGTAAATAACCAAATGATCTCATATATATCTGTGTTCGTATGGAAAAGTAGCTTATGTCGAAAGGCCGGTTTTAGTATAATGCGGCATCCCCTTTATTTTTTAAACGACAAGGAATTTTTTGATGAGACTTTAAAAGAATATTGACTTGCTAGTACCGGAACTATTTTTTGCACGTTTATTAGCTAAAAGTTGTTTAACGGCTTAGCGCCCGTAAATCATTCGCAATCGTATGCTGCGAATGCCGATTTATACTAAAGCCAGCCTTTCGACATAAGCTACTTTTCCATACGAACACAGATATGTACACATATACAACTGTGAAAATTTGTAATATAAAAGTATTCAAAACTGTAATTAAAACGAAGTAACAGAAATGAGAATATATACTTTTTTTATTTCTTACTTAAGGGGATTTAAATGGGGATTTAGAAGAAAAATGGGTATTTTTTGGGGATAACTGCGGCTCGATATGGGGATGCGCTGTACAAAAATTCTGGCAACACTGACTTTATTAGCGGCCATTGCACGGTCACTCTTGTGTAAAAACATAGCATGATGCCAAACAAAATTATTTCTGTTCATACCCATTCATAAATAAATGGAAAATAAGTTTGATTTTGTTTTGTACCTTTAAACCACGATGAATGGTTCATTATATCAACACGTTCGTGGCACGGGTTTGTCTGGTTCAATTGAGTCAATATTAAATGAGAAATAAATATTTTCTCCTTATATGCAACCATTTCAGGTTGCACCTCAAAAAACTAAAAAATTTCTTGCACATGGAAAAGTAGATCGACCAGCCTACAACAATAGCAACATATAAGAAAAACTCGATCAAAATCTTGCAAAGATAAAAAGCAAGGGCCACTCTAATGTACATATTATTTATGAATGTATATAGATATACATATTGAATGAGACTTCTTTCAATTACATATTGCTGTTCATTAATTTTTCCGACTGGGTGGTAAGATGATTTATTTCGCAACGAATTTCCATCATCCCTTGTAAAGTTTGGTTTGGAGACAAACCTCTTTCGGCGTTGTGCCATCTTCAGTGTCATTTTCCGAAAAGAAACCAGACCAAAAAGTGAATTTTGAATTTTTTTCAAGTTACGACTTTTTGAATTTCACTGGGGCCGCCCATATTTATAAGCTCATAATTCTGAAATTATTTTCTTTCCATTAGACTCGCTTGAACTACTTTTTAAGAGTAAATTTTTGACGTCTTAACCCATTATTGATAATGCATTAACCCATTGGTAACCCAGTTTTTTGTAATATCTTATGTTAAGTTAATTTTATTTTATTATTATGCAAGTTATGAATAATTTAACCCATTTACGACTTTGACTTAACGCACTGATGACCATATTTTAACCCATTAAGGGCCAATTTTTTATAGAATCTTTGACCAGCTAATTTTGTCAAAAATAGGTAAGTTTAGGTTACAATCGAGAAGAACAAGTCCTTTCGTTTTGAGGATAGCTTTATAAATGAATTCGCAATACTTAGAACTAAGTTAAAAGCCATAAAATGTAATAAGAGTAACAATGTGTGTATTTGTTGTAATCACTAGGAAAGAGCATGAAACACAGGGGAAGTCATTTATATAGAGATCAGTTAGATAGGAAATAGATACAAAAATTTACGTTTCAAGAAAAATTTGTCAAAAAAGTCGAAATTATTTTTAGTTTCGTTTTGATTCGTCTATGAACATGCCAAATTATGTTTTAAATTTAAAGAGATTTACAAATTAAGCATACAAAATATCGAAAATCAAGTAATGTATCTAGTTAAAAAGATTAATTAATTAAAGAAATTTTGTAAAAAAAATAAATTAAAATTAAAAAAAAAATAAAAAAATAGTCAAGACTTTTCAATATGTGGGTGTCGTCGTATAGTTATGACAAGCACTATTAAAAGGATTTCGAGTAAGCAGTTTTGTAACCCATTTAATTGTAGTAAATTAAAGTGAAAATTTGAAGAAGCTACGACTTGCGTTTTTCCATACGAAGTATGTTCGACGATTTTTTATATAGAGAAAATGAGCTACACCTCGCCAAAAAAATTGCCAAAATCTACGGCATGTCGTAGCTACTTCAAACTGGCACTTTAATGTACTAAAATTGAAAACGTACTCAAAATCTTTTTAAATATCTAATTGAAAATATCTATATTTGTATGAAGAAACTTAGATTTATTCGGTTTTTGCTAAGCAATAAACTACTTTTATTTTATTTTATTTTTTACGTGGGTGTCTTATACATAGTGATACTCAAGCATGCATAGGTTCGATTAAAATGGATCCAAAAAATTTGTTCACCAGTTTTTAGAAAAATATTTTTGGATCTATCCTATCTAATCGTTTTTTCGAAAAAACTAAAAATTGCGGTTATCTTCGTACTTGATGCACTTATGTATCTATTAACAGCTTGACTATTTTTCATTCGATTTTAAAAACCATAACATGTGTTGGAAAGAGGATTTATAGACCTTTAAAACGATGTATAATAATATATTGTTAGACTTAGCTTGTTGGAAGTTTTCATCGGTTAAATTTTAATAAGCCCCTATTTTTCTTGATTTTTTACACTTTGACCATCACTGATTTCAAAAATTTCTATGAAAGTCGCCAAAAATGTAGTATTTACTTAAAATAACATTTATTGTGGATAATATTGGTACCTCCTTAATGCGATTGCATAAAAAATTTCAAAAAATTATGCAATTTCAGCAAAAATACGGCCTTGAATTTATATGTGTATGTACCGGACTTTCAGATTTCGTGACTAGTGTGGCCAAGAAATTCGATAGTACTTATCTACCAAAAATGTATATATATATATATATATGTATATATACAATGTCTCTTTAGCAAAAAATTTATTTTTCATGCATTTTAGGAAAATAGTACATACATATAATATACACGTATCTCAAAAACTACTTCATCGATCTCGGCCATATTTGATATACACATTGTACTTAGCCTCTTTGTATATCTGGTCTTGCATATTTTTGAAATCGGACAAATAAAAAACAAACAAAATTTTGGTTGTTGGTTTTATGGATATGGTAGATTTTCAACCGAGGAATTCAAATTTATTGAAAAGTGATGTCATATTAGTATCGTCGGTTTTTTGAATGGGAGCTTTTTTCGGATTCACTTAACATCCATTGACGCGCTCGAATGAATTATATCATCAAACAAAATTAGATTCGAAATTTAGGGTTTGCGCCACTCGGTTAAGTTTAAAGTTAATTAATTTTTTTTTGTTAAAAATAAAATAATTACAATTTTATGTTTGTATTTGCTTTGCAACAAGCAATTATGTGTTTTCTCACGAAATTGCCATCTCGATGCGAACCCTTTTCACATTTATGTAACATGCTTCTAATGCCCTCCATCCAATCCTTTTCCCTTTCCTAACTTTGTACACAGCAAAATAATTGATTATGATTTGTTTGTTATAAGAACATTTAAACATTAAAATTAATTACTACCACCACCGTTGTACGTTCACTGTTCAGTACCCTAACTTTAGCGCCATAGCAGAAATATTTAAATTTGCTAATTTATCGCAAACTTCAGCGGCTATTTTCATTATTTTTTTTTACATTACTATACCATTGCAGAAAACCGTGGTGAATTTCTCGAAAAGCTATTGCGCGCTCGTTCAGCCGTGCGTCCGGGCTCACCATCACAGCCTATTTTACCAACAGTTAGCGTACTGCGTTTAGTAGTTGGCAACTGGGTACTCCAGTCACAAAAACCAAATCAATTACAAATACACAACACTGAAGGTCATCAAGTGACCGTACTGCAAGATGATTTGCCCGGTTTCATATTCGAGAGCAATCGTGGCACCAAACACACTTTCACCGCTGAGCACACACTAGGGCCGGACTTCGCTTCGGGCTGGTCAACGGGCAAGAAAAAGAAAATCAAGACTAAGACCGAGGTGCAAAAGACACAAGTTAAGAATTTAGCTCGCGATATCTACAACAAATATTTCAAAGCCGCTCAGGCTGTGCCACGTGGTGCTGTCGCCAAGCTCACATCCATCGTAAAGCAAATCGAGGTGGCACTGGAGGAGCAGCGTTTATCGCCACACTCCAACTGGCAGGACAAATTGCGCACACCGCTAATGGAGCTGGCGCAGCTGCTGCACGAGGATGGTGTGGTTAGCGCCTATGAGATGCACTCGTCTGGCCTAGTTCAAGCGTTGGTTGCTGTGCTCTCCAAGAACTACTGGGATAATGGGTTGTCACGCAGCAAAATTAATAAAATGCTAAAGCAACGTATTAATATTTTCAAACAATGTGTCTTCGATGCTAAACTACCGAGCGGCGATATGCGTAACACCAACACTACAGCCAGCATACTTGTACAGAAGTTGGTCGCAGTTTTAGAGAGTACCGAAAAGCTACCCATCTACGTGTACGATGCACCAGGTGCCAGTTATGGCCTACAGATATTAACTAAACGTCTGCGGTTCCGCTTGGAACGTGCCGCCTGCGAAACGACACTATTCGATCGTACTGGGCGTACACTGAAAATGGAACCACTTGCTACAGTTGGCCAATTGGCCAAGTACTTGCTAAAAATGGTCGCCAAGCAGTGGTACGACATGGACCGTTCCACTTATCACTATTTGAAAAAATTGCGCGAGCATCGTCAAGGTATGGTCTTCAAGCACCACTATGATTTCGATGAAGAAGGTCTTATTTACTATATTGGTTCGAATGGTGGCACCTGTGAATGGGTGAATCCTGCACAATATGGTCTAGTGCAAGTTACCAGCTCTGAAGGCAAGACTTTGCCATATGGCAAATTGGAGGACATACTCTCGCGTGATAGCGTCTCTGTGAACTGTCATACTAAAGACAATAAGAAAGCTTGGTTCGCAATTGACCTCGGTGTCTATATAATACCCAATGCGTACACATTGCGCCACGCACGCGGCTATGGACGTTCAGCTTTGCGTAATTGGATGCTACAAGGCTCGAAGGATGGTGTCATTTGGACTACACTCGTTACACACACCGACGACAAGAGTTTGGTGGAACCTGGCAGCACTGCCACATGGCCAATAGTGTGCGCACCCGACGAAATGCAAGGTTTCCGCCATATTCGCATACAGCAGAATGGTCGTAATGCGTCGGGACAGACGCACTACCTCAGTCTGAGTGGTTTCGAGATCTATGGGCGTGTGGTGAGCATCTGCGATGACATTGGCAAAGGCGCCAAGGAAGCCGAGGCGAAAATACGCAAGGAGCGCCGCCAAATACGCGCCCAACTCAAACACATTACCACAGGTGCACGTGTGGTGCGTGGTGTCGATTGGCGTTGGGATGATCAGGATGGCTGCTGCGAGGGCACCGTCACCGGCGAGATACACAATGGTTGGATTGATGTGAAATGGGATCATGGCGGGCGCAATGCGTATCGCATGGGTGCAGAAGGCAAATACGATTTGAAATTGGCTAACTGCGATAATTTGTCGATGTTCGAGGGCGGCACATCAATAACGCCGGCCACGGCGACGGCAACAGGTGGTGGTGGCACAACAGCAGGCGGTGGGGTTGGTGGTGGTAAGAAGTACGAGAAGGGCGGCACACTCACATCGCGGAAGTCGAGCTCGACACCTTCACTGCCGGAGGCCACTGAAATCAATAGGAACACAGAAGTGCCGTCAGATCAGGCAGCATCCGCTGATAACTTAGCTTGGAAACAGGCGGTGGACGCCATAGCCGAAAGCGTTTTTAGTTCGGCCAAAACCCAAATGCTTTGTTCAACTGTTCTCTCCAGTGGCGATGACAGCAGCTCGTCTGGCTGCCCAGCAGGAAGCAGTGGCGTCAGCTTGCTGCGTGAGCGTGAAAACATCGCCGATTTATCGGCCATTAACAACTCGACACAGGCAATCAATGCAAATGTCGTCTCTGATTTGGCCACAATTACTGAAAACTTGGTATTGACTGAGGCAAATATGACCACTATGGGCGGCAACACAGTGAGTTCGTCTGCAGGATACGGAGGCAGCGGTGGTGGCAGCAGTAGCCGCAATGCTTTGGCAGCTATTTTTGGCAATGCCGGTGTTGTTGGCAGTCAGAGTGGTGTCGTTTCGAGCACATCAGCTGCTCCCACAAATATTACTGGAAGTTTGCTCCGTAGCGTATCGTTGCAGCAAGGTGATGAACCAAAATCTACAAATATTGAGGCAAATAATAAAATGAATGCCAACAATTCAGTCAGCGCCAGTGGTAGCATGGGCAAGGGACTACTAGTTAATTTACGCGCAAACACATCAGCTGGGCAGCGTGTTTCACAATTTTCGTCAGAGGCTTTGGAGATGATTGATAAAATGCGTGATGGCGTTGATATGATACGAAACAACACCAATAATATTCTTTCATCCGATATACTATCACTTTCGGCTGCAAATTTAATGACATCAGCTGTTAAGTTCTCCAATGTCACGGGTAAGCCAGAAGGCGGAAACGATCAGTTTAATACTAGTTCCACGGACAACTTGGGAACTTCGGTGGTCGTCGATTGCAGCGCAACAGCGGCAGCTATAGACAAAACTGGACAACCGCCACCCGCATTGAAAGTCGAAACAGAGAAGCGTATTAACATTGAAGTGGCCGAATACAAAAATCTTGCCGGCGTTCCGAGCGTCACATTGTCCACAAATAGATCATCGAGTGTTAGTGATCACCAATTGCAACAGCAACAACCACCGGCACAGGCTGTTGAAGTGGAGCAGCAACAAGCGAGTGATTTACAGGCTGGTGACAGCGCTCAACAATTAGGTGGCTCGGCCGATAGCGTCAATGTTTCTGTATCGAATCAAATGAGTGTCAGTGTGCCCAATCTTACTACCACATCTGTGTCGGAGACCACTTCGCAATCCGAGGTAACCAGCCATACTGGGCTTTTAGAGACTTTTGCCGCAATGGCTCGCCGTCGCACATCGCAAGGCACCACTAATATACAGAACAACCAGATGATCAGCTCCAACTCGAACTCGAATGAGCGCAATAATCAGAGTGTTGGCACAAGTTCTTTCTTCCCTCGCGGACCGAATTCTGTGACGAGCCTTGTGAAGTTGGCGCTGTCTAGCAACTTCCATTCGGGCCTCTTGAGCACCGCTCAAAGTTATCCGAGTCTGTCGTCAAACAATGCTGGTATGAATATATGTATATGTATATATATATTTATTTATTTTTTTAATTGTAGGATTTTATTAAAGACTCTCTTAGAAAATACCTACATAAGGCTGTGTGCGAGTTGACATAAAGTTTAGTACCTAAATTGGAATTCCATAGGAAATTTCAAACACAGCTTCTGAAATTTGCATTCAATCGCTGTTGATAAAATAATAAAATGTTTGATATTGAGGCAGCTTTTGGATTGTTCAATAATAATGTAACTTTACAGCAGAAACCTTTAAATTTGACAATTCAATTTAGGTTGAAAAGTATACTTGCAGAAAATATTAATTCTGCCTATACCTGCAGTACCTGCGAGTAATTTAGAATTTTTCTTTATTGAGGTAGCAATTTACAGGGCAATTTTGGCTACTGTCTTTCCTAAGACAATTGTCAATTCTGGCTACGAATTTGAAAGCTCTTTTCTGTAATTGAAAGATCTGCTAACGACGTCTTTGCCTTATAAATAAAATAAGTTTCTAAAAACTAAATGAAATTAAAAACTATATTATCTTTTTAAAACAATAAAATGTAAAAATTTAGATAAACATAAATTAAAAAGGAAAAAAAATCAAACATTTAATTAATTCCTATAACTTAAATGAAATACAAAAATATATTTTCTTTTGAGAACAATAAAATCTAAAAATTTACCGAAAATTAAATAAAAAAAAAGAAAATGTAGAATAAGTTAAACCAATGATATCTAAAAATTTTAAAAAGATTCAATTAAAAATCGGCAAAAAAATAAATCGAAAAAAAAGAAACAAATGCCTGTGAGTCGAACTCGTATACAGCCTAAGTTGAAAAGTACTTTTATAGTCCATAGCTTTAAAACATGCAACAAAAAATACCTTCACTCGTTTTATAAATTCAATTGACAATTTAGGCAACAGTGGCGGTTCAAATAATGGCACCAGCGGCAATGGTAATTCCACAGCCGGCCAACAAGTGCAAACATCTATTAATCCTGCTCTAACGATGAGTCTCACTTCAACTTCAAGCGATAGTGAACAAGTTTCGTTGGAAGATTTCTTAGAAAGCTGCCGTGCGCCAGCTTTACTTGGTGATATGGACGATGACGATGACATGGACGAAGACAATGACGATGAAGAGAACGAAGACGAATACGAAGAAGTTGGAGTAAGTCGATTGGTAATTTTGTTGCAAATTTCATGCACTTTTACACCTTGTTTTATTTGTATATATGTAATTCCTTACACTTGTGTTTACGTATGTATGTATGTATGTATTTATGTAGAAAGTTATTTATATCATATATGCGGAGGTAGGCAACTTATGGTGATTTCGTATCTACCAAAAAATGTCGCATTTTCATTGCTCCTTTCCTTTTCGTCTTCGGTTCTAAAATAAGGGCAGACGACGAGAATGTTTTGTGCTCGTTTCTTAAAATGTCACACTCTTGTAAGGCGAAAAAGGCACATTCTCTGCCCTGTGAAGCTTTATGTCTGGGGAGATGGATGCCCTGAAAATGAGATGGTTGTTCAAAACGACAATATTATGAAATGCCTGAGCTAGACAAGGACTTCAAGGCAAAAACAAAAGGCATGTTGGAGGACAGGGTGGAGTGTAACATCAAACCCATTTTCCACCGCAGATGGGCAACATTTTTTGGAAGAAACGAAATCACCATTAATTAGTTCAAAATTTTCAAAACTATTTTTCCTATGCACGGAAATACTTTAAACTTTTTTTATTACATTGCACATTTTGCATCAATTCTTTATCACATATCATATCATATCGTCGTTTAAAGTACAAAACTGCGTATCTGCAAAACCTCGTAACTGATATTTGTACCAAAAAAGATATTTGCTCACCGGAAGCTCCTGGCATATAAAATGTCGTTCTTAGATATAAGAAGAGATAATTAGGGATACAAGAGAGAAATGGTTTGAATCAAAACAAGTTTTACCCCCTCATATAAAATTTTGGCCACCTCACATACGAGGTTTTGCATTTTCTTGATACGCATTTGATTTTGCATTTTCTTGTACTTTAAACGACGATATCTATGAGTTTACAAAAACGAAAAATTACACTGAAGATGGCACAACGCCGAAACCGGTTTGTCTGCAAACCAAACTTGACAAGGGATGACGGAAATTCGTTCCAAAATAAATCAGTTCTACATTACGTATGACAAGCTCCTGCCTTTAGTGCTGATGAATTTTCGTTTCCGACTTATTGCATAAATACATATGTATAAGAATAGTCTAAGCACACGATATTGCAGAAAAATGTCTAATTAAAAGAAACTATTTCACGTATTGAAATCTCTAGAGCTGACAACTTCTACTCTACAGTTTTGTCCTTTCAACGCTTACTAAAACTTGCCATTCTCTCATTATTTAGAACACATTATTGCAAGTAATGGTTTCTCGCAATCTGCTAACCTTCATGGACGACGAAACACTGGAGAATCGTTTGGCTGGAGTGAGTAAGCGCAAATCGTGGGACGATGAATTCGTACTCAAACGACAGTTCTCTGCACTTATCCCAGCTTTTGATCCCCGCCCTGGACGTACCAATGTCAATCAAACATCAGATTTGGATATACCAGCACCAGGTACGAGCGCTGAGGCATTGCGTCAACACGAACATGTACCGCTACCACAGCCGGTATTGTCGCTAATACTGCGTGGACCTAGCATAGGTGGCGTACCCGATGTCGAGATTGAGTTAGGTAATAGTGATTGGACGATATTCCGCGCCGTACAAGAGCTCTTACAAGTTTCACAGCTAAGTAAGACGGATAAGTTCCGCAAAGCCTGGGAACCGACTTATACCATTGTCTATCGCGAAGTGACGCCACAAGAATGTTTAAGCACAGGTGTTAGCGGCACCGTAGTTGAGTGTGATGATGGGCCGAATACACCAGTGGTGTCATCGAAGAGTGGCGCCTCCACGCTCTCCCCCAACTCTCCCATTCGTGGCGAATTTACAACTTCGGAGAATGTTACCTGCTCAGTGGATGATGTCTTGCAACTGCTTAGTCAATTGAATGCACTGAACCAAAAAGAGACTGCCACCGAAAACACGACGGCGGGTGCCGAAGCTACCGTGCTTGGAGGAAACTTGCCATCCGAGCTATTTATGAGCAAGAAAATAACCAACAAGTTGCAACAGCAAATACAGGATCCATTGGTTTTGGCTAGCAATGGCTTGCCCAACTGGTGCGAAGATCTCAATCAGGCATGTCCTTTCCTGTTCCCCTTCGAAACGCGTCAATTGTACTTCAACTGCACCGCATTTGGCGCATCGCGTAGCATTGTTTGTCTGCAGTCGCAACGAGATGTGACTTTGGAGCGACAACGCATGCCCGGACTCAGTCCAAGACGTGATGATCAGCATGAGTTCCGCGTTGGTCGGTTGAAGCATGAGCGTGTTAAGGTGCCACGCAATGAGAACTTGCTAGAGTGGGCCATACAAGTGATGAAGGTGCACTGCAATCGTAAATCGGTGTTGGAGGTCGAGTTTGTTGGCGAAGAGGGCACCGGGTTGGGCCCAACATTGGAGTTCTTTGCACTGGTAAGCAATTTGCAAAACATACTGTGAATAAATGTGAAATATAATTCTAAAAAAATATGTTGTTTTATATTTAAAGGTTGCAGCCGAATTGCAGCGCACCGATCTCTGCATGTGGCTTTGTGATGATGCCGATCAAGAACTGAACGATAAAATCAGCGAGCAGAGCAAACATCTCATCTCCAACGAAGACATTAAGCCTATCGGCTACTATGTAAACCGACGAGAAAATGGTCTTTTTCCAGCTCCATTGCCACAAAATTCGGAAATTTGTGATCGTGTGTCAAAATACTTTTGGTTCCTTGGCGTATTCTTAGCAAAAGTGCTGCAGGATATGCGTTTAGTGGATTTACCACTTTCGAATTCGTTCCTAAAACTTTTATGCCACAATAAAGTGCTTTCGCGTGGTGTACATCAAGTTCAATCGAATCCTGTCTCCGAAGATCTAATGACCTCATCTGTAGTGTCAGAGGACTCCGAATTGGCGGAAACTTGCTCGAAACTGCTAGGTGGTGTTGGTAGTGGAAATACCGAATATAACGCAGGCAGCACCTGGTATGACGGCATCTTAACTTATGAAAACCTCGCCGAAATCGATCCCATACGATATGAATTCATTAAAGAGCTGCAAGATTTGGTCTCACGCAAACAAGCTTTAGAGGGTGATGCTTCGCTAACGCGCGAACAAAGGCGTGATCAGTTAGCGGCACTGAAATTACGTACTAAACAAGATGAAGAAGTCGATCTACAGGATTTGGCTTTGACGTTTACCTATTTGCCCAGCTCATCTGTTTACGATTATCCGTACGTTGAGCTCATACCAAATGGTGCCAACATTGATGTGACGGTGAATAATTTGGAAGAGTACTGCGATTTGTTGATAAGTTTCTTACTGCAAGATGGCATTGCGAAGCAATTGGAAGCATTCCATCGTGGCTTCTGTGAAGTATTTCCACTAAAGAAATTGGCTGCTTTCAGTCCGGCCGAAGCGCGTATGATGATTTGCGGAGAACAACATCCGCAATGGACTCGTGAAGATCTCATCAATTACACAGAACCCAAGCTTGGATACTCCAAGGACAGGTAATTGTATTTAAAGCATTAGTAAAGTGTTCGATCTAATTTATAGTTAAGCCTATATTCAAGCATATTTCCGTTGACGTCGCCCCTGCGTTTAAATTGTTGTTTCTATGTATGGACCATTAACTTAACTATAAAATGTATAGTTAAATCACTAGTTAAACATAACTATAGAAATTTCTCTAGTTAATTTTAACCAATGATAACTGCGTTTCTTATTTCGCATTCGTGACATATATTGAAACGATGAAAGAAAGTGATTGACAATCGTTTCAATGCAGTTCTTAACGACGGATTTGGCAGTCGTTACTATAATCTTTTGGATAATACCGATAAATGTGAATAACGCTTTGTGCTTAGACTTGAAAGTGTTTTCGATAAATTTCTAAAAAAACTGACGGTAAAATTAAAATTTTTAATAAGTGCAAAAAGTAGCCATCTCAGAAGTGGAATATTTTTCGTAGTACCATAATAATAAAACAAGATAATGCTTTCTCAAAACGTTTTGGTTTATAACACTGTGCGACAGTCGAAGCCAGCCCGGGCTTCGTTAAAAATTTTTGAAAGTATACCCATCCTTTAGTAAAAAGCTCAATGGGTCTGCAAAAGTTAGCTCGTAATTTTATTTTATGGCCTACTAAAGTTTTATTTTCTCGGACTAAGTAGTTTTAAAAAAAGTACCATAATAATAAATGCGTTCTCAAAACGTTTTGGTTTATAACACTGTGCGACAGCCGAAACCAGCCCGGGCTTAGTTAACATTTTTTGAAAGTATACCCATCCTGTAGTAAAACGCTCAATGGATGTGCAAAAGTTAGCTCGTATTTTTGGCCTACTAATGTTTTCATGCCTCGGCCTAAGTAGTTTTCAAATAAGTGTAAAAAATGGTTAAAATAAATGTCTGAGCGAAATTAATGGTTAAGACATATATAGTAAAATTTCATGGGAAATATTTTCGAAGAACATTTAAACCCATGAGGTCTCGTCTGAAAATGTCGTTTTGACTCTTACTTCAAGAAACCCAACAAAAAGCAAATTTGGTAGTGGTTTAGTGTTTTATTACTGGAAATGTATACTTTCAGAAAATATTAGCAAAGTCTGGGCTGGTTTAAATTGTCATAAAATTCTCGCACAGTGTAATAGAAGGAGGTTGGGAAAGATGTATTTTAAGAAAAATGTATTTTATGAAGATATATAAGATACGAGAGTTGCGAAAGAGATGGCACATACTAAATTGGTAGGATAAAATGAGAAAGAAAGTAAATTACGTATCATTACCGTACACCAGTATACCGGCGCTAACCAGAAGTCTCATCGTGGCAAGAGCCACCGGACGGTTCACTAGGGCATCCACCGATGATCAGCAACCCACCTGCAATAGAAACACGTCATTGGCACCAATTAGCAAGACACACCGACTGACGTGCTATGTTGAACTCAGCCAAATTCGCCTAGGTGGTTATAGCGGAAATGAAAAAAATAATTGGGGGGCAACCAACATAAAATATCAAAACAGCGAGTCTACTTAACCGGAACGACCCAGGGTTACATCTGGCCAAGGCCTGTAAAAATATTCTCATAAAATCCATCTCCACCAAAAAATGGAGAAGAAGCTCGGCCAAACACATAGCAAAAGTGTGAGCGCCAAGATATTACAAGGGCTGAAAATTCATCATACTGTTTGGAGAGTCTTTATGCTGTTACAACAAGGCGATTCCAGTTGGCAACAAGACTTGGTTTTTCCAATATTTACATGGTGTGTTGCCAAAAATACAAATATTTCGAAATTTAATTTTAACCGCAGTTAAACTTTTTTGATAAAAATTATTAACCTATTTATAAATGAAATAAAAAATACGAGGAAATGATAACAAATATAACTACAAAAAGGAAAAATTATAAATCATTTTATTTAAGACAGATTTAAGGAAATGATAACTGTCTTTTTCAACCAAATTCATGTTATATGTTGTTTGCTTCTAAAATTTGGAGAGTAAAAAATCATACGGCCACCTTTGGCATGTAATGCCGCCATCGACCAGCGGTGCTTGCAGGTAGTCTCATTTTGACAGCGCGGTGAGTTCGCCTTCCGCCTTTATTGTTTTTCAGCTAATATGCTCTGATTTGTTTCACATTAGGCATGTTTAGTTGAAATGGAACCGCTGCTGGCGCGGATGTCAAAATAAAAAATATATTCGACATAAAATTCATGTTTTCTTCCTGTTTAAAACTCTTTCAAGAAGAATATTATCAAAACTTTAATTTTAGTAACGTAACGTCACGCCAGATACTTGAGCTGATTAAACAAAACGCAGAAAAGATTCATATATTTAAAAACTTGGAAAATTAACCTAAACATTTCCGATATTACTAGAAACTTTTTTATACAAATCCAATAAACATTTAGGTTTGAGCTCAACTTGAGATTAGGTTGAGAATTAAGGTAATTCTTAAATCCCCGACGTTGTACCTCAAGTGGAGGATCATAGCGTTCTCAACAAAAAGGGCATTTTTCTTTGTATGAAAAAAGGACTGTTTCTCAAGTTGAGAAAATGCTAGTTTTTAACTTGAACTCCAATGTAATTCTCCAATCGGTCTCAAACATATCATTGAAATACTGAAATTGAAATAGTAAAATACCTTATACCCAGATAGGAAATACAGTGACTCATACAAATTGATTGATTTTTTTTAATATTCGTAATGTCTTTCGAGCTATTTTTTTTTTGTTATTTTGCTATAAAAATGCCACCCAAGCTTTAACCAAAAACATATACATAAATCACAGTTTCAAACTTTTTAAAAAATTTTCGAAAATTCGACAAATTATGCAGTTTTTATAGCCCATACAATTTTAGTCTAATAAAGTGCAAGTGTTAAACGGCTGAAAAAGCCCATAGAAACAAATTTTTCTCGAAAATCATTACGATAATTAAAAAAAAAAAGATTTAGATGAAATTTGACACACGGATCGCCCATAACTGTCACCTGTTTAAAAATTAAATTATATTCTGGCGTTCTAACGCCTTGCGGGTTCACAAGTCTCTATTATGCTAAGCAAAAGAATAATTGAATAATTGAACTTGTGTTTTAAATTTTAACTTCATTCTTTATTTGCAGTCCTGGTTTCTTGCGTTTCGTCAACGTCTTAATGAGCATGACTGGGCCCGAGCGTAAGGCGTTCCTGCAATTTACCACAGGTTGCAGTAGTCTACCACCAGGCGGTCTAGCCAATTTGCATCCACGTTTAACCGTTGTACGTAAAGTAGATGCTGGCGATGGCAGTTATCCATCGGTAAATACATGTGTGCATTATCTAAAGCTGCCCGATTATCAAACTGAGGAGATCATGAAAGAACGTTTACTGACTGCAACAAAAGAGAAAGGATTCCATTTGAATTAATATACATACAATATGTGTTTCAATATTTTACTTACCTCTCTATATATTAATCTTAAGCATTTGCCGAAATTTCAAATTGGGCGTTAACATTGTTAGGGTGTTTCTACGAGAACAATTTTCAGTTGATGGTGATAAAAATGTTTTATCTTTTATTTAGTTTTTTTTTCTGCTGCTGAGTTTTTTGTTGTATAAAATTAGGATGTGTAACTTACACATATACAGATACTATATGCAAACATTAAAAAAAAAAAAACAGAAAAATTTCGTAAAATAACACATGGAAGTCAAAGTAACAACATGTTTAGTTTGTTTTGCTCCCGAAAGCGTGGATGTGCAAAAAGTAATACAAAAAATGTATGTAAAAAGTAAATAGAGAAGAATACCAATCGAACCAACCTAACAAGCAAGCTAGTTTCTTCCAATGAAAGTGAATGAGGCAATGATTGAAAGTTTCCTAGCTACATGACCTACATTGTTTTAAAACTATATAGATAAATAGTGATAAGGGGCTTAAAAAGGCGCCACAAGCAGCCAACAGAAAACAGTAAATACTACTAAAACTATACAAAAAATAACAGTAGCTCATAATAGTATGTACATACATATGTTTATTCATTGAAAATTTAATTTACTTGATGAAACCGTAAATACCCATGCATACATTACTACAATATTCGTACATACATGTAAAATCAATTACAATACAGATTTCAATATTCATACGATTGCATATTTGTGTATTATTGCAACAAAGAAAGCACTTAAATATTTATATAATTACGTAACGTATGTAGCTCTTTAGAAACAAGCGACGTTTTTAAGTGAAAATGTGAAATACTAGAAAAGCGAAAGATTTAGAGAAGATTCATTAAGTTTGTTAAAAACGCGAATTGTCGGCTACCCACACTAAAAATTTAATTTGGAAAACATATGCATAATTAAAATGGAAAATTTAAATGAAACGGCGTTTACTTTTGTCACACTTGTCCTGTTGGTAGAGGAACCAATTCATATGCTTGCTTCAAGTTGGCAATTAAATATAATGGGGTTTGATAAAACTTCTTTATAACTTACATACATTTATTAAAAATAAAAAATATGTTAATCTTTGCTGAATGCACAGTTGAAATCGTTTTTATTATAAGCAAAAATTAGCAGGGAAATTAAAAAAAAATTTAGTTTCTTGGGTTTCACTTCACGTCTGTTTTTGAAAATGAAAGCTGAAATGGACAGATAAATATTATTGAAAGAAATATCCACCAAGCGCATTTGATTATAAGCCACATAGCTGTGTAACTATCAAACAAATACATACAACATTTCAAGCTTTAATTTTTTGTGTAAGCGACAAAAGCGCTATGGAGCACTAGCGAGCACCCGGGGAACCGAATGTGTGCGAATACTTAAAACAACTTACACGCCAGCATCAACTACACACAGTAGATAATTTGAGGCCAAAAAGCATTCCTAAGAGTCAAGAGGACTTTCTCCTTTCTTTTTTTGTATAGAAAGGCTTCCTGAAGGGCTTTTGGAGGAGTTCTTCTATAGCAGCTTTTTTAAATATGTTTTTTGGCGCTTTAAGCGCATACTGAAATACATTTGTAATGCTTAACAATATATAAAGTTGTACACTTGCGTAAATTGCAAATAGGAAAAGCAGTTCTAGAAGGCATGCAGGGAAGCACTTTTTAAAGCTCTTGTTGGCCAAGCTTTTTAGAATGACTACGTAAGGCCTACCTAAATTATCTTCTCTAGGTTACAGCTATTGAATGAATATGTAATTTAAATAAAAAATGACGATACACAAACGAAAAATCAATAAAATATTCACACCTAGAACACACAGTGCTTATTCAAATAAAAGTATATTGATATGGAAGAACATAAAACAAGCGAAATCAACTGAAGCTACATACATACATATAGAAGCAAGTAAAAGCTATGCTTGTAAAAAATAAAAATTAAAGTAATTGATCACATGTTGTTAAACATTTTTCTGACTAATTTAAAGTTACTCTCTTGAAGCAAATAAATTCTTAACGGTAGAAAAAAATATTGAAAGGTATTATTAATTATAGCACAGTGGGTAGGCATGTCAGTGGAAAAATTACATCGATGTATTTCATTGAACAAGAGAGTGTGAAAGGTTAGATTCGTGTGAATGATATCCGCCAATTGATTTTTTTTTTTAATTTGGGGGTCAAACTCACTTCTCTTTTTTGTGCAATTGAAAAACTGAAAAGATAAATTTTATAGTCGATTACGGATGGCCACCGAACTTTAGTTGCGTTGCCAGTGGTCGAAAAGGTATTACAGATGGCAACTGCATTTTTGTGGTTGCAGCGAAAACTTTAATAGAGAAAATTTATTTTTTTTAACTGTTTCTGCAGGTTATTTACACTCACGCTTTTATTGTGGGTACTTCAAAATTCAATTATCTTCATGTTTATAGCACTTAACTTTAGTTGCTATTCATAATATACAGTTTCCTTTCAGTGTCGTTAACCATCGGCAACCCAACTGAGGCTGCGATGCTATCCATAATCTACCCATTAGAGCTTTATTTTTCACAGGTAAGATTACATTTTGGAGTGCAATAGGGTATAGTCGTGGAGCCTTGGGTCACGGCAGAAAGAGTCAGCTTCGGTGGGGCCACTCTGTCTTATTCGGTTTAAGCGCTCATTGCGTCTGTTCACCAGTAGGTGCGGCTGCAAGTCGGTCGCTATATAAACGTATATTCGGTTAAAAACCGCCGCCGTCTCAGTAATGGAGAATACGCTGGGTTTGGGAACCGCCACGTAAGACCCTTCAAGTGTCATTCCCACGACAGCCGGTTCTACGTACCGGAATCACTCGGGTTTTACCCGACCAAGGGCTGTTAATTCGGCGATCTAACCCCGTTTAGGTCGGCGAAGTATCTCAGAAGTTGTTCGTCCATAGGGCTACATTCGCTACGTTTTCTTCTACTCAGGGCTGGCTTCGAGTCAAACCCAGGGCCAGAAACCTACACCTGCTGTGTATGCCAGAGACGACTACACCACAACTCCACCTCAGTCGAGTGCAATGCTTGCGAGGGGTGGAGTCACCTCAGAGTCTGCTCAGGACTACGGACACATCGGCAGTGGACCACATCGTATGTGGCCCCATGCTGCTCAAACAGAGCAGCCTCCACTGCTAACCCTAGTCCACCTGAGCAGTCCCACACAAACACCACAGCACAACAACATAACACAATAACCGCGACAGACCACACCACAACCGCGACAGACCACAGAACACACACAACCGCACCACCACCCACACGCCGCCGCCAACAACTCTTGGTTCCTCCTACAATTTGCACCGTATGTCAGACCAGGATATTCCGTAATGTGACATCAGTCAAGTGCAACACCTGCCTTGGCTAGTGCCACTTTAGGGCATGTTCAGGTCTGCGCACCACGGGAGATTGGACGAGGAACTTCGAGGGCCCGTGTTGCGCAGCACGGTCGCAAACTTCAACCGCGACGCCACCCACCACCATCACAGGGCGGCAACTACCTCAGCAGCGCACACAGCCGATGGCGTCACGGCCACACACATCTCTCACACCCCGCATTACCACACGTCTCCCGAACCACATGAAGCTCCATCAATTTAACTGCAACGGGCTTCAGAGCAAGATTGAGGAGATAACCGTCTTTATGGGAAGGCATGGTATACTGATAGCTGCGGTTCAAGAGACGAAGCTGCAAAGCAATTCAACATTGTTAAAATGAATAACACTTTTATTTTTTATGAACTATACTTTATTTATATACCAAAATATTGTTAGAAACAAGAACTCAGGCGTTTTAAATTATTTTCTGTTACTTACAGTCAGTCAATAAAGTTTAGGTACAGCGATTTTTTTACAATACGGGCAACTATTTTTTAAATATTTTATTTTTCGATAATTTTGTATAAAAATATGGTCAATCCTACAACAAAAAACCCAAAAATCAGAGTTCCAACCCTTGTGCAAAATTAAAGAAAATTCGGCAAAATTTCATTCAAATATTGCACTTTTTATTTACGCTCTCTAGAAAGAAGTTGAGTATGCAGTTTTTTAGCCCACTCAATTTTAGTATAGCAAAGTGCAAGTTTGTTGTGGCTGGGACTTAACATTGATTTTTATTAATTTTTTTGTTGAAGGTGTCGCTCATTTTCTCCATGTAAAATAATGTTTGATAATTTTTTTATATGGAAAAAATGCGCGACACCTTCAACAAAAAAATTTCCCAAAAATCAATGGTAAGTCCTAGCTTCCTCATACTTGCACTTTATTATACAAGGGTTGGAACTCTGATTTTTGGGTTTTTTGTTGTAGAATTGACCATATTTTTATACAAAATTATCGAAAAATAAAATATTTAAAAAATAGTTGCCCATATTGTAAAAAAATCGCTGTACCTAAACTTTACTGACTGACTGTACATTCATAATTATGCTTTGAAAAAAATGTACTGAAAAGTACTGATTTTTTTAGCATGAAAAAGTCGAATGTACTGATTTCGCGCATAAAAAATCTGGCAACCCTAAACGTACACCGTCGAGGTCGCGAGCGAGATAATGGTGGTGGCTTAGCGTTCATCACCCACCACACCGTGCAGTATCGTCTTATCGAAGCATACATCGACCGAAGGGATACCACCCTAGAATGTCAGGGCATTGCTATCCGGTCAGGCGATGTTGAGCTCGAAATATTCAACGTTTACATACCCCCTGTCACCTGCTGCCCGGCAGGATATCACCCTGATATAGGTGCGCTCCTCAGAGGTGAAAACCGAATGGTAGTAGGTGACTTTAATGCGCACCACGATCTTTGGCACTCAAGCCTGTCAAACGATCGTAGGGGAACAGACTTGGCTGAGCAGATAGACGATTCGACATTCTGCACAATGAACGACGACGCACCCACCAGGATTATGGGTAACTGCAGTAGCTCGCCAGACATCACAATAGTCAGCGCTGGTCTGATAAACAGCATGACATGGCGACCTATGCTGACTTTGGCATCAGACCATCTGCCCATAGTCATCTCGATCGATAAACCAACCGACTTTGCTTCCCCGGAGCACTGAACATATATCAACTTCTTCAAAGCTGATTGGAAAGGCTTCGCGAAATTTACTGAAAACGTTTTCGCTGCTCTTCCCACACCAACCGACGTCCACCTTGGTGAACGTAAGTTCCGCAAGGCTGCCACTGCTGCTGCAGCCCGCTTCGTACCGGCAGGATGTATCACTGACCCACGTCCAAATTTCCCTGCCGAAGCGGCTGTTCTATCCGATGAGCGTGACAGCCTTCGTCAGGCCGATCCCGGAGATCCCCGTATCAGGGATCTCAACGCGGAGATTCGGCAACTAGTGAACGTACATAAGCGGAAGAAGTGGGAAGAACATCTGAAGACCTGTAACTTCACCTCTGGTGTGAGTAAGCTTTGGTCAACCATGAGGTCACTGTCCAATCCGACGAAGCACGACGACAGAGTCGAAATTTCTTTCGGCGACCATGCCTCGTCGGACCCGGAGCGATGCGCGAGCTATTTTAGCCGGCAGTTCATACTGCATCCTCCGGTGGACAAAACCAAGTGTCGAGTGACCAGAAGGCCGCACAAACTGCCAACAAATTGTGCCCCCCCTTGCTTTCACTTGCGGTGAAGTTCAGGTGGCCATCGGGAAGGCCAAAAGCCTCCAAAGCCATGGGTCCCGACGGAATATGCATGCTGATGCTAAAAATTTGGGTCCTGCGGGAGTAGCGTACCTAACGGATCCTCAATTTGTCTATGGCCACTCTCATCATCCCAGACATCTGGAAGGTGGGGAGAGTGGTCCCACTACTCAAACCGGGGAAACCCGCCAACAAAGGAGATTCGTATCGACCGATAACGCTCCTTTCCCCGGTAGCGAAGACCTTTGCGGCCCTGCTGCTCCCGTATTTCACGAACCACCTGACCCCAGCGAAGCATCAGCATGGTTTCCGTAAAGTGCATAGTACAACAACAGCACTTAACGCCATAAACACTCAGATAACTCGTGGCCTTAACCGTAACCGTCCCTGTGAGAGAACGATTCTAGTAGCATTGGACCTATCAAAGGCTTTTGACACTGTCAGCCATTCCACGCTACTAGAAGATATAGAGGCTTCCTCTCTCCCACAGAGGCTCAAACGGTGGTCGGCAAATTATCTGAGTGGTCCACACTCGTCGGTAATGTTTAGAGACAAATCGAGCACACTTAGGAAAAACAAACAGGGGGTTCCACAGGGTGGTGTCCTATCCCCACTACTGTTTAACTTTTATATTTCAAAGCTCCCTCAACCACCAGAGGGAGTCTCGATTGTCTCTTACGCCGACGATTGCTCGATCATGGCGAATGGAATTGATGACCTGTGTTCGAAAGTAAACGGGTATCTCTCCGAACTTTCTCGCTTCTTCACTGCAAAGTGTCTAGCCCTCTCCCCTACGAAATCCTCT